GCTGCCTGCTGGGATCCTGCCCAGGTCAGAAGTGCCTCTGAGTCCTTACTATCCTGCAGCTTTCCAGTCCCTTGGGAAATGATTTGGGTCTCAGTCCAACACCTTCAGGGACAGGCAATCATTTCACTGACAGCACCACTACTATTGCCTTAATGTGATGTCTGGGGACCTGGCAAAAGGAACAGGCAAGAGAGGTCATAGCTAGACATAAGTCCTAAATTTTACTTTACAAAACAGAACCTACCACCCTCCACTCATGGCCCTTTGTCAGTGTGGTGGTTGGTCCGCTGCTGGCTGTGTTTCTATGGATTGCAAAAAGGCACCATTTGTTTTGGCTGCCAACCTGGCACCTTTCTCTGAAGCTACTTAAAGCAAAGTCGTTGGGGAATATCTATATTTCCTCAAATTTTCTTTTTTAAGGGGAGGGGAGATAAATACATAATGTGGCAGTTTGGACAAACTCCCGTCCTAGGGCAATGTGTTCCTTTGAGACGTAATTGATTCCTGCCATCAGGCACCAGCCTGCTCTCCCTGAGGGTCAGCGCTTTCCCACATCCAAACCCATTATCCCACAGCCCCTGCCTTTTGCACAACACACTCCGGCTACTCATGTGCAAAGCAGCTGTAATCCCCAGACCTTTCAGAGTCAATATACCAGGAAATAATAAATCCCTCTTGTGCACCCTTGAATATACTGAGAGGTGATGGGAGGGTGGGAGGGGGGGGATTTCCACTAGGCAGAGAAATAATAAATGCTTCTTAATTTTTAATTATTTTTAATACTGGCTGTAAGGAGAATATGCCATTGGCCCGTGACTATTTCAGGGTCACCCACACAAGCAGCTGGGGAAATCGATTTCACCTCAAATTACTTTGGAAATGCAGGTCGAGCTGGAGCATACACTCAGCACTTGCTCACAATCCAAACCTGCTTTCTTTCCCTTCAGCACCTAGGAATGACAAGGTTTAAGAATGCTGGATGTAGAGAGAGACTGATTAAATGAAGGTTAAATGTGTAGGGCATGATCTTGAGAGTGCCATTACAAAGGGTCCTGCGCATCTTTTAGCCTAGGGAAGGCAGGAGTCACCCAAATGGTGACACATTGCTACTAATAATACATTACATAGGATGGACCATAATATGCAATCTTTTCCATTAAATTCCAGTCAAATTCTGCCATAAATACAGCATGGGGGTTCACTTGTCTGTTTATGGGTGGAAGTGACCATATGTCCTGGTTTGACCAGGGCAGTCCCAGATTTCATAAACTGTCCCAGTTGGTTGGTGAGTATCAAAGCAGAAGTCCCAGATTGGTACCACCTGGCCAGCACGTGCCTGGTCTGACTCCGCCTGAGCAGGCTGGAGGGCAGTGGACTGGGCTGGGCTGGGCTGGGCTGAGCACCACAGGGTGGGGGGGGAAGAGGGGATCAGCCGGGGTGGAGCTGGGGCTCAGGCACCTGAGCAGAAGGGTGGCCTGGGGCAGGCAGGACAATGCAGAGGCCCGTGGCCAGGCTCCATTCCCCATGCACAGAGACTGGATCTGGCTGGGAGCAGCTCCTGGGTTCCACCAGCCTGCACCACGCAGCCACATAGCGCCTTCCTCCCACCACCAGCAGCCTTGTGCCCTGCCACTGGACTGGCTGCTCTGGCCCGGGCTATGTGTGGCAGCCCCAGGCAGTTGCCAGCAGCAGGGGGAACATGCCCACCATCCCAGGTTTCCCTAAAATGATTATGGTCACCCTATTTATGGGGTAAAGTTCTATTCAACATGAGTCAGTGTGTGGCAGAATCTGGCCCAGAATGGGGAGATTTTCAGGACCTACCCTTTGTATACAGTTTTTTGTGCAAAAGCCCTTTAAAGGTCCTCCCCTGCATGTGACAGAGTTCCAATGAAATGCAGCCACCTCTGGGGTGCAGTGTATTGAAGGGGCGATGCCAGCATAGTATTGAGGGAAGCAAGCACTGAAGGAATCCTAATAATTGCACACAGTGGAGAGGAGATTTTATTTTTCAGGCCTCATTTAGGAACCCCTGACACAGCAAGCTGTATGGGTCACCATTTCCCCATCTTGGGAGGATGAAGGGCTAATGTTACAAAAAGGGATTGAATTTACAGTTCTACATGCTAGGACGCTTGGAGCATGAGAGCAAGTTTATACAGCTAGGTAAAGAAGTAACTGCAGAGCAGGCAGGCAAACCCCCACCAGTTTTAACCAAGCTAGTTAAGAGATCAGTATTAGCGAAGATGCAGAGGCACAGGCTAGAGCCCAGCATACAAGATAGCTAGGAACACAGGAAGCATTACTGTGCCCATTTCACAGACGAGCAAACTGAAGCAAACTAACTAATCTAAGTCCCTGCATGAACCAACAGCAGAACTGGGCACTGAGCCCAATTTTCCTAAGACCTGTGTACAAGCTGCCATCCCTTTGCCCCTTGCCCTGCATGGCTCCCTTCTCTGGGTAAACAAGGAGCTCTTACCCACATGGCCAGCCATGTGCTTTTCAGCTTCTCCCACAGAAAAGCCATGTGAGTTCAGGTCGCAGTGGCAGAAGAGCAGGCTTCACAAAGGAGTTATTAGCACCAGGCTGTGTGGGTTTGAATTTCCCCAAGTTTCCCACACTTTTCCTCTATTGATAACATTTCTTGTTGGGACAATAGAAGTGTGCCTTGCAACTACTCGCAACATTAGTGACGGTGCTTGAACCTGAATGAATTAAAGGGAAAGAATCCAACTCCCAAAAGACCATCTGGCTAGCAGTTAGAATACAGCAAGAAAGGTCAGGGCTGCCACTCAGAAGTTGGGAAAAAGATGCTCTTTGACACTGAAGAGTCTTTAACCAGCCTGGTACAACAACTACCTGCCAGCCCCAAGCTTCGCGTTCCCCCACCATCAAGCCCACGCTTGCAAGAGACATGGGACGCAGTGGTGAAAGGAGGCAAGGAAAATGCAACATCTTATTAGGGCTGGCAAAAGCTAACAGTGCTGGGGCTGGTCATTGGGCTGTGTCTTATTTAATGTTATAATCCTCTGGCTGCTTCAAAGTGTGCATGAGATGACTTGTCTCCTGGCTTTCCCACAACACAGGGAATAAAGGACTCTGAGGACAACATCTGTCCTTAACAAAGAACTAAGCCCATTCAGACCCATACAATGAAAACCATGAAGCTGGCTATTTCCCTGACCTCCCTTCCTGACAACTGCCAATTACATTCAGGCTCCGCTTCAGGGTTCATAGTAGAAGAAATATTCCCTGGCTTTCTCGAAACACGGCAGCATTCCCTCCACCAGAAAAAACTGTCTCAGCTCCTTAGCCATTCCTCCATGTTTCACATACATCAGTTCAGAAGCAAAGGGTCCTCCACTTCACAGACTATGGGCCAGACTCTCAGCTGGTGTAAATCAGCACAGTCTACTGAAATGTCATCCACACGTCCCTTTTACAACCTACCTCCACTCATATCTAATGCATATCAATAGCACTATATCATTTTATTCCAGCGGAGGCCTGGGTCCTGCTAGTTTCATTGCTGCCTTCAAGACTACATCCAAGAATGCACTGATCCAGCTGGATAAAACCAGGACTGACTCGAACCTTTGTCCAAAAAGTGAGCTCAACCTATTTTTATCCCATGCGTTCAAAAAGATTTGCTTAACTTTTAATAGAAAACTGTTTGGTTCCCCTGCACTGATTTTGACTCAATAATTCAAAGAAACATTTCTAATCCACTAGTTCAACCTCTTTACAAAAACCAGCAAGCATCATTTTTCCCTTTTTTCCACACAAGGAAACAGAGGCAAAGTGATTTGCCAATGGCCATTTATAGTGAGTCTGTGGCAGAGGTGCACAGCACTTAGCCTAGAGTCTCATCCTCTGCAAGAGAATGCTTGCCTGATTTACCAACCTACTGTGAAAAGGGGCAGTATTCCCAGACAGTATTCTGGGACTGCCTGAAAGCAGGAACATCAGAAAGAGAGAAGTCCTAGGAGATTTGTAGCAAGCCATCCAAGGGCAGAGTCACTTCTGGTGTTTTAGATAATTAGTCTCCTTGCTGGGATACGGAGAAGGGCATTAGTAGTCTGAATCCCACCCAGGCTTACACCTTTATGGTTCAAAGTCCGGTGCTACATCTTGCGCCCATTACTACCACCCCCTGAAAACACCTGCATGAAGCCTAAAGAGGAGAAGGAACCAAAAGAGCACTGGGACAGAGTGAAAGTGGGTTAAATGCTGCTTTCAAGCATGCCCACCTTGCCTGAATGGAACCAGATGGATGTAACAGAGGCTCAGACACTAGAGTTTGGAATAAAGAAGAACCTGAAGCCATCATTTACACCTGAATGGGGTCCTGAAATACAGCCCCCCCCCCCCCCCCCCCCCCAAATCTCATTGGCATCTTTAAAGCCCACTTGACAAAAAAGCCTGTCACTTAATGCTGTTAATGCTTAGCTTTATTCTTCATATCTCACAGGGAAACCACAAGGATTCTACAAACAAGCACCTTCCCCAAGTGAACTGCACCCTCCTCAGGAACAGAGCCATTCATTTTAACCCACAGGCTGCCCTGCTCCTTTTCCCGCCTTCCCCAAAACGTGTGCCTTCCTCCCTAGGATGAATGTGACTGGCACATGCTGTGACTCTGGAATGCAATTGATCCCAGACAACCAGCTGGAGGGTCAGTGCTTTCCCAGATCCTCCTGCAGCCCTGCAGTGCCACGCTGCACACTCCACCAGTTGGTTTGGGCAGAAGGTTATTCTCTCCAGGGCATTTACAGTCAATGTACCATACACTAATAGATGCCTCCTCTATTGTTCGACCGTGTGCCCGGATTGGCTGAGCAAGTGTGGGAAACACCAACAACCCTGAGACTCACATATCTGCTTGGCTGCTCTGGGGTATAAATAGAGGCAGTCAGTAGCTTCCAGAGTCATAGGCTTGTGCTCAGTACAGAAGCCCCTGACCCAGAGATCAGTGCCCATAACTCACAGGGATCAGAATGGCTCCCACCAACAGTTTCTTGGTCCACATAGAGGAAAAACTCCTGCCGAAAGAGAAGAATAAAGTAAGTGGAACAACTTTAAGTGGACAGGGCTAGAAAGTATGTGTTGGGCTGTATTCTATGGCACTGATTAGACATCTGAAACTCCAGTGTCAACCATGTGCATTTACATAGCCAAAATTATATAACAAGATCTAAGGATAGACAGACGCAATACAGGGGACAGACAGACAGATACGTGCTCCAGGAGGAATCAGGGTAGATGATATAAATAAATCCAATGTGAGCATATCCATAATGAACTGCTCCTCCCCAATTGCAGCTCAGGAAGCCGGTGGTGGAGAAAATGCGCCGGGATCGCATTAACAGCAGCATCGAGCAGCTGAAAGTCCTGCTGGAGAAGGAGTTCCAGAGACTTCAGCCCAACTCCAAGCTGGAGAAAGCCGACATCCTGGAAGTAGCGGTCAGCTACCTGAAGCAGCAGAGCCAGCTGCAGGCACGAGGTAGGTACACAGCGTGCTTTATCGCACCCTCCATGGGGCTGCTCCCACAGCAACTGCCCCCTTAAAGCTTTGCTCACACCAGTCCTCGCTCCCTAAGACAATGAATCCAGGTGAGCAAGGACATGCAGGATTAGGCCCCCTGAGTCAACCCCTTCCCACGTACTGTCCCCTCTGCCCCACATTGGACACGCTGCTGACCTGTCATTTTCCTCCCATGTCTTTTTCAGCTTTCAGTCAGAAAAGCCCAGAGCAAGATTTTAACACCGGATACCTGCGCTGCCTCAAAGAAGCACTGCATTTCCTGTCCTACTATGAGCCTAGGAAGGAAGCTCAAGCCCAGCTGATCAAGCATTTCTGCAAAGCTCAAATGATCCCAGACAATCCCTGCTCCCCCCCTGTGCAGAGCCCACCCCCGTCGCCCTGCCCGATCCCCAGGAAGCACCCTACCCAGAAGACTGCTGTTGCTCCTTCCATCTGGAGGCCCTGGTAGACTGACTTATGGACATGCCTTCTTTTTTTTTGTTTGCTACAAAACTAGAGGGATCTTTAATGGTTCCTCTTTCAAGTAGGAAACTCTGATTTCCAAGAGGGAGGGAGGGTATTTTTTTCTGTCAATAGGAATGAGGGTCTCTAAAGTAGTTTTCCTTCATAGTGAAGGATGGTGTTTGTATCTTGCAGTGAAACTGCTGTTTTTATGAGTGGCTCCAAGCTAAAAAAGGAACAAGTTCTTTGATGCTTTACAGGGCAAAACTCCCATTGACTTCCATCAGAGTTTTGCTTGATAAAGCCCTCAATGCAATGCCCAGGGAAGTAAATGGGAATCTTCTCACTGTTTTCTGTGGGTATTTAGGAGCTGCTCGGGCCCTGTATTGGGCAGCAACCTTCTTCTAGAAGGGGTATTTTTGAGGCTGTATTTTGTATCATAAAGAATTTTGAGTCTTTACCTTTTGAGTGAAAGATGTGATTCAGAAATGCTGTTGCTTCTGAAGTTCCTGTACTATTCTAGTATAATCTCTTATGGAAAGTTATTATGATAACAAATTAATGTAGAGAAAATTTTCTTCATGCCCAGTGCATATGAATCTCACCTGAGAGATAATTGATGCCTTTTGTAAAGGAAGTACCTGATTTGTATCTTAAGTTATGAGGGTGGGGTAGGGGAAGGGAAATAAGTACTGTACAGTTCCACACTGAATATTTTAAAGAGATTAGAAGCTTTTATAAAGTTGCTGTGTTTTCTTTCTATGGGATGTCAAAAGTGACTTTGGTTCCTTTACTGTACATGTCAATAAAATGATTTTATTCCTTGACCCTTTTTGCCTGAAATTATTAAATTATTAAAATGTTTTGTTGGCATGCTTGCATAAGTCGGGCGACTGTTTAAAACACCCGGGGATCGTCACTGTGGTGCACAGTTTTTACTTGTTCAAGCAGCCCCATTGACTCTGGTTGGAAAAGGGATGGGATTGTCCATTTGGAAAGATATACAAAAGCTAACAAAAATTACAGTAAAATTTCAAGGCCTGAAAGTGAAGAAGAAATGCAGACGGACAGGGAAGGGGGTCAGACATGCATGAAAATACATATGTAGTCTTCAGATGGAAAAGAACCTACTTGCTAAACTCAGGCCCTCACAGGTAACATGAGGCTTTTCCTTTCTCTTTTAAAGAGAAATGTACATATCTGCTATATCTGGTCAGAGACTAGGCAGGATCTCACACAGTTTTTTCTCTTCCAAATTAATTTATTTGCAATTTCCTTTTTTAAAATGTAACACTCTCCTCTGAAGAAGCCAAACTGCAAGTCAAAAATTCAAAGCTGGAAGTCCTGGGCCCAGGAACCAAGAGACCTTTTTGGTCATGATTCCTCGCTCTGCTACTGATTTGCTGAGAGACCTTAGGCAAGTCATGTCACTCATCTCTGCTTCAGTTTCTTATGCTGTAAAACCTATATCACAGCAGTGTCCCAGCATTTGGAAAGCACTCCAAGATCTAAGTTCCATGCAACTGTTAGATAGTATTTTTATTGCTGGCACTATTTTGCACCAGCTAGTCTCTCTCTAGCTTGGGCTCAGCCGTGTCATGGATGTGTTCCCACACAGCAGCAAGCTTTAAAGTGCTTAACCCCAGCTCTATTAGTAGAAATATCACCACTATCAAATATATTTTAAGTGCCCTCTTTAACCCTTCCTTCCCCTTCTGATACTAATATAGAAAGCAAAGCAGGCATATCCTTCCACGGCTTGAGAGCCCTGACTCATGACCAGGGTAATAACTGCAACACTGAGGCAGTGGGCTGCCTGCGACTCCTACATGTGGACATGGATTGCATGTCCTACTCAGTCATTCCTGTTCCTGACAGTGGGTACCAGGTGGAGCCTTCTTAAGAGTGAATGAAGCCTGTTTGATTTCACTGCCTGGGAGCTAGCAGGATAGCATCTGGGTAGCCCCAGAGCCATCCTGCTTACACAATACCGCAGCAGAGGATGCTGATCTTTTACTCTCTAACATCCCAAATGAACATACACACAAGCCTTAGAAACGTTATTTTAATTTTTTTTTCAAAAAAAATTCCCACCAAGCCCTGTCTTATGTTTAGGGCACAGGAGGGTTCCCTCTTGACTGTATGACCCACCCATGGCACGAGACCATCTCCCCCTGGGATTCCAGGATAGCAGTTCATTTGAAAAGCTGAATTTCCATGGACCAGGACGATAAGAAAATTAGAGGTACCCACTCTAAATCGAGAGAGGCAAAGTACCATATAAATAGAGCTAGGCATTCTTATTATTGATATAGATCTTGGAAACTGTTCACTTTAACTATTCACTGTTAGCAATGTTTGATTAGTCATATGGCACATTTTGGGAGATAAAAATTGCCTTTACTCAAGAAGGGGAAACAGCAAAAAGGGCACTTAGATAGAAACAAAACACACTCTAAGATTTATATAAATATTTGTAAATCCCTGGAAATCATATAGGTAACAATTAGTGTGAGCCCCTGAATATCAGCTGATCTCATTCAACTGCATTTTCATATATTTGACAGTTGAATATTACCCCCCACTCCCCCAAAAAACAAAAAAACAAACCAACCAACCAAACCACTGGAAATGAGTATCAGAAACACAGTCCTTCTGGCTCAATCAGACTGAGTAGGAATGCAGTTTGGTACTACCCTGAGCTATTTTCCATTCATACTGTACTCTGCCTCAACTAAGATTAGTAACACCTGAATTTCTCTTTGGTAGTATATGTATATTTTTACTTTAAGTTAATATCTCCTACAGTTTATATGCAACTAGTTTCAGTAACGTGTGCTGTAGAATCTTGCTAAAAAATGCACCAAACAGATTCCCAACTCGATTTTAAACTGCTGAAGTCAGACAGAAATACAATCAAGAGAAAACTCTGAAAAGAACAAGACTTCATAGAGCTGCTGGGTGCACGTTTGGCCTCACTTGCACTGGGGGGAAATCAGAAACCTGGAGAAGAGTTTACCCCCATGGAAGAGTGGTGTGAAATCGGAACCAAGCCTGTAAGGCCAGAACCTCTTTCTGCCAGACCCCTATCCCCTAGAAAAGTCAGAAAAGGCATAGAGTCCAATTTTCATTTCTACTAAGACCTTGTTATACCCTGTGCCACTAAAGAAGCTTTACAGTGAGAAAGAACAAAAAAAATATACCCATCCCCTTTCCGGTAGGGCCTTGACGTAAATAAGAACCAGGCCCAGTGCTGTACAAAGCTGGGGACAATATGGAAAGCACCAGGCTCACAGCCTTCAGGTAAAAGCCCAACCCAAAGCAGTGGAAAGACTCCAATTTATTTGAGTGAGCCAGGACTTTGGCTGGTGTCGGTGGAGCTCTGATGATTTCTAACCACAGGCTTTGGTTCAGTCTCAACAAGAAGCATCTGCAAGCGAGCTTAGCCAGGTTGCTATTGCCAATACTGAGATCTCATTCTGAGTGCCTGCTTTGATCCTAGAAAAGCCCAGGTCATGCTAACTCTTTATTAATTATTAGTTGTGATAATAAGTAAATACACGCAGGCACTTCAGATCATCCCACCTCAGGCTGATGCTCCCCTTTTGCAGAGCTCTCCTACCCTTGGGAGGGTGATGTTTATTATGCTGATCCCACAGCCCAGGGATACTTTCCTGACAAAGACCTATTAACCTCAGAGTGTGGGCCTGAGTTTCTCAGAGTTTCCCACACTTTCTTCCTCTATTTATGACATTCAAGGGGATCACAAAGGAAGCGTGCCTCACAACAGCCCACATTAGTGACGCTCTTTGATTCTGCATTGTGATTACCAGCAATTCCTGTCCCGATAGACCATCTGGAGAGCTATTTTCCTAAGGAGCACGTTGATCGATCAGTATTATCCAAGCCCTTTTAAAACTTGGGAACGTTATGCTCTTTGACACTAAATAGGTGGCTTGCGGATGGACTGTCAGCTCAATTTTAAGCCATCCAAGTCAGGTACAAAAAAAAAAAGAAAGAAAGAAAGAAGGAAAGAAAGAAAGGAATCGTAACTGTTCCTTAAGAAATGCACGTATGATAATGACACATTTTATAAGTTGGGGCATCCTGAAAGCAAGATGTAGCTTGAAAGGGAAGACGGTGTGTAGAAAGGATAGCAATTACTTAGTGAATGATGTGAACTTGACGCTGGGTGCACAGCCCTGGAGACTGAGCATTATTTTTAATCACAGAGACGGTATCCTGCTGCCAGGGGTAATGCTGGTATGCATTTGCCAGTCTGCCTCCTTCAGGCTGCCCCACAATTGAGCTGTTAGGCCTGGTTCATCTCTAAAGCTCATCCATACCTCAGCTGGCTGAGAGGGCTGCCAAATAGTATTAAGCACAACAACTGCTTCTGGAATAAGAAGTCCTTGTTTTACTGGCCCTACTCATTCAATCACTGGGCTAGATCCACCATCCAGTGACAGCAAGGTGGACAGAGACATGGTCCACTACCGATTCTTTAGGCCATCCAGTTTTCCATAATAACCGACTGCTCTCAAAGACAACCAAACGACTGCCATGTACCTTGCCTCAGTGAAAGCTGCTTCTACTTGGAATTCAGACTCTGTATGTGCAGTATGTTCACAAATGATGTGAGGAGTTGAGACCTCTGCCACTTTTAATGATCAATATGACAAAGTGAGCATAACTAGACAGACCAGCCCCTCTCTGCTCCTGTGAGACTCTGATCACAGTTTTGAAGGTGAACTATATTCAACAGGAGACTCTCAAATACTTTCCAATAGAGCAAAGCTGTAAGAGAGCTGAACTTACTGGAGCAAATGGCTAAACAGCCAAGCACTGGTGTATCTTTCAGGATTGGACCCATATTTCACAGCAATGAGATCTGATCCCGAAGAAGGGAATGATCAAGCTACAGCATTTAGCTAATTTACAAACACTAGAATTGCCTAATGCATTTCCACCATGGTACTAGGTTTTGTGATTTATTTCTAACAACCCATCACTCCATTCACAAGAGGAAACAAAAATGCTACCTTATAACAACCACAGAACAACCTTCCCTACCATCTTTTGGGTCTGCAGTGGTACTGAGTCAAGAGATATAAACTCCTCCCTCTGATACATGGTGGTGATAATGGCTGATCTTGGAGCACATGCATACTTTATAGGCTGCTCAATACACTGAAGCTTTCCTCTTAATTAGAAAAGAAAATAATTAAAAAGTGCCTAACCTTTTAGCCAATATAAACAGGAACTCCTGACAGTACACATTGTTTTCTAACATGAGGGCAAGTATCATAGATGCCCCAATATGTCTGTGTTTTTTATGGATATTGGATCCTACAATGTGTCAAAATTAAATATTACAAGAAAACAGATATCACATGGCATAAACTAAATGTGAGTAATACAGAAAAAGCAATTCAGCCCTAAGGCAACTACCTTGACTGTACTGGAATTACACCTAGTAATCATACTATATATATAATATATATATATATATATATACACACAAACACATGCTGATGCAGAAAGAGATTTTGCTGATGCTCAAGTTAGTACAGTATAGTATAGCATAGTATAGCATACCACAGCAGCTACAGCCATATCCTCTTCTAATCACCCTGTTGCTTCAATTTCCCCCACAACGATAGAAATACAGTTACCCTGTGTGTACCTGTACAAAGTGCCTACTTACTTCCATACAGAATTTTCCCATATAGCACCCTTAAAATAAGAGGTTTTATCAATCTGAGATTATCATGAATAGCAATTCAAAGAGATTGCAGAGTCATAGAAAAATAGGACTGGCAGAAAGTCATCTAGTCCAACACCCTGCTCCAGGCAGAATCACCCCTGTCTAAACTATCTCAATAAAATATTTACAGTATCTAATCTGCACTTGAAAACATTCAGTAAATGGAAACTCCCCAGCCTCTCCAGAGAATGCATTCAGTGCTTAACCACCTTGATAGAAAGTTCATCTTAATTAATATCCAGCCTAGATTTCCCTTGCTGCAATTTAAGCCCATTACTTCTTGTCCTGTCCCCTGCAGGCACACAAAACAGCAGATCACCCTTCTCTTTATCACCACCCTTTTTTGTATTTAAAGACTGCTATCAAATCCCTCCCTGTTATCATATCCACTCATCATAAAGTGTTCAGCCCTGAAGAACACAATCAAAGCAAATGGGAAAGGAATGATGCTTTTCTTTGATTCATCAATAGGATGTGTTCAGGAGGAGGCGGGGGTGGCGCTATAACTCTGGCGTCTTTCAAACTGGTTAGAGGGAGGGAGAGAAGCTGGAGTTTGTAACCCCCGAGGGCTGTTGTTTTGTGCTGGCAACGCAAGGCGGCTTGCCTGGTTCACCATTCACATCAGATGGTGTGAGTCCGGGATCTTGAGCATTTCCCACACAGCGCCCCATTCACAGTGTTAAACTGTTGACAAAAGAAGTGTGCCTCCGCAGGTCCTGAGTGGAAAGCTAATGCCTGCTGCACCATCTGGCCAGCACTGGGAGAAAGGCATAATGCTTTAATCAATGGGTGGTGGTTCAATCCTTTGGACTCGGCAGCATTGTGCTGGGGGTAGGATGGCATTATTTAAAACCACTCGTTTCATATTTCTAGAACTGGAAATTGGATCAAAGCGTTCCTGCCCAAAGGAAACCTCCCACCTCATGGTGCCCTTCTGCTGCAAACAGAACAGCCCTCTCATCCAGTGCGTGGCACAACCTACCATCCCAGTGCATCTGACAAGCAGCCTGGGGACTCTGTAGACACCCTGGCGAGTTATATCTTGCCGTGAGCGATGACAAAGATCAAGGCATACACCCGTGTGTTGGCCAGTGATAACAATAGCAACACAAAACTGATAAAGAGACTTAGGGTCTGAACTTTCTAGGGGACCCAAGTTTGTGATGTGCTTTGACAATCAATAATAATAAAGTCATTAAAATATCAAAGGTGGGAAGGGGGAAGCTGACTTATGGAATTCACTGTCACAGGAAGTCACGGAGTTAACTATTACAGAAGTGAGCAGTATGAATGGGTTTGGATGACCAAATGTCATGGCTAGTAAAACAAACTTCAGCACGTTTATCCTCACAACAATCCAGGGCAGAGTTTTATTTACTTATATGCAGCCTCAAGTACTTGTGTTACAAATGGGGAAACTGAGGCACAGAGAAGGGGAGTCACTAACCTGAGGCTCACATTAGATGAAAGGCTGACAAAGGCATCAGGTGAGGTTTTCGTAAACTTCTTCATACTAATGGGGAAACCAAGTTGCACAGAAAATCCGGTCCTTATGTGTTTTTCAGCTTAACTAAAGTAACCAAATGAGCACTGCTGTGAAACAAGTTAACCGGCGATCCAACAGGTCTGGAATAGGAGTCAGAAGGTCTGCGTTCTAGTCTCTGCTCTGGGTCCCTCTCAGGCTCCGTCCTGGACTGACTGCATAGCACACAAGAGGACACAGCAGTTCACTGAAGCCAACAGAGCTCTGAGCAAGCACGGCAGCCCAACCTCAAAGCAGAATCAGGGCCCCAGTCAACATGAGACCTTGCAAACTTATGTGTTGGATCCCCGCATCCTGACTATGCCTGTGGTGTGGTGGCCCTTTGAGAGTGCAATTTTGTTACGTGCCAGAACTTCCTATCTCTCTTAAATGGCCCCTAAGCATTTTTCCCCCGAAAAGTGTTTTCAGGGTCCCCACTGCTCAGTCCTTTCTGCAACTTGCCCCTTCTGTCCTGAGCCCTGTGGCTAGGGCTTATTTCCAGATGCAATATTTTCATTATTCTTTAGGATTTTACGATTTAATAGTTGCAAGGCACCCTAAGTGAAGCCCATGGTATGCAGCTGTGTGTGTTAGATGGGTAGACAAGGTTTTAAACAGTGAATGTTGCTCCTGCTGATACAGATTAAGGCCATGTGTATCCGGGTCCATGTGTTTTATAAGCATGCCATTCAAAGCACTCATGAGTACAGGGCCATAGTAGAGGAGAAAGAAGTAACCAGACGAGAACTGATTCAAACCAAGTTACCAGTAATGCAACAGGTCTGGAATAGGAACCAGGATTTCTGCCAAGAGTCCAGAAAAAAAAAACAAACTAGCACTGCTTTCAATGGCCAGGAGCCTGCCTGTCCTGGTCCTGCTCTCCCACTTCCATGGGGTCTATCTGACTATGCCAAGTACACCTAATTCAGAGGGCATACAACAGCAAACATGCTGACAAAACATGGCGCTGTAAGAGAGAGCAAGTGAGCTTGGGCCAGGAGCCAGGAAGTGCTGCAGGCTTACGATTTTGGAGACAGGATAACTGAGGCACAAAGTGGGTTGGGGGCTGAATTACTGTGTGCCCTTGTTTTGCCATTTGTAAAGGCAAGTAATACTGCCTGCTTTCATATTGCACAGCTAGCTGATGGACACTAAAGCAACGGCAGGCTTGATTCAGGCTCGTTTGCAAAGATCTCCAAGACAATAAATGGAAGATGCTAGGAAAAAGCATGATTATTATGATATTAATTTGCTGGGGAAGCCCAGACAAAAGCAAAAGATAAAAATTTACTTAAGGCTTGTAAAAAGTCACAGAAAAAAACAAAATGCATGTAAGACTGAGGAAGGAAAAGATATTCACATGGTAATTTCCTAAAAAAATATACATACCCCCCCCCCCATGTGTTCTCCCTTCTGATTTTGATCACTAGTTGCCTGAAAATTGACCAGCACTGTATTCATCCAAGCACGGTTTAATGTCAATGAAAAGGTTTAGTCCCTCTAATTTGAAACTTTTTCCCTTTTGGCTTCTCCTCTGGACAAGGACAAGGGGAGGGGCTGTTCTCTCTTCCTGGGAGCTGTCTTCTGTGCTTAATGTCACCGCAGCCTGGGAAAAGGCAGCATATTGAGATGTTGATGGTCCCAACATCAGGCGCAAGTTTGATTATAATGATGGCGAACGCTTTCCCACGTTCCTCCCCAGCCCTCCTAGCCTAGCTCCTATTGTGTAACACACTCCCCAGTCCACCTGCTCCGCTGGGAGCAGGGTATTATCCCCAGGCAATTCACAGTCAATTTACCATGCTGTAATAGATGCTCTATCTATTGTTCTGCTAAATGCATGGATTGGCTAGTGAGTGTGGGAAACTCAAAGGAGCTTAGGCCCCAGGCATCTGTATGCAGCTTTGGGGTATAAATAGAGGCACTTTCCAGCTCCCTGTATCACTTGCTGAACAGCAAGATCCGAGGTGAAGTCAGCACCTGTACTCCTGGGATAATGGCCCCTAACATTCTTGCACTGGAAATCCTAACACCCAAAGAGAAAAACAGAGTAAGTATGTGCCGCATGTGACCCATGTGTCTGAGAGTGGCTGCTCAAAGCAAAGCCTCCTAGCTGGAGCAGATGAGAAAGGAAAGGTGGTAGCTAATTCTCTCTCTGCCTTCTCGTGTTACAGCTGAGAAAACCAATGGTGGAGAAGCTGCGCCGGGATCGCATTAACAGCAGCATCGAGCAGCTGAAAGTCCTGCTGGAGAAGGAGTTCCAGAGACACCAGCCCAACTCCAAGCTGGAGAAAGCCGACATCCTGGAGATGACTGTCAGCTACCTGAAATACAGCCAAAGTGAGTGCATCTCCCTCTCTGTTTTCAAACTGCTCCTGTCTGCTAGTTTTACTTATGCCTAGGCTGAAGATTAGGCCAGACCTGTCTAAAACTCTGTCTTTCCTCTTATTCCAGCTTTCCCCTCATCTCAGCATCTGCAGCAGGATTACAGTGAAGGGTATTCCTGGTGCCTCAAAGAGGCTCTTCAGTTCCTGTCTCTCCATTCAGCCAACATGGAAACTCAGACAAAACTGCTGCGCCACTTCCAGAGATCTCAAGTGGCTGCCAAAGACTCAAATTCTTCTGCAGCCTCCTGTTTCTCCAACCAAGCTCCTGCAAAACAGGCAGTGCTGAAGCCCTCCAGCAGCCTTTGGAGGCCCTGGTAGATGAGAAGGACTTCTGTTTTATTTCTGGATATGTGCTTGTATTCCAGAGGAGCCTGCAACTTGCTGTGCAAGTATGTGCACTCCTCTAATGAGTAGGGAAGAGCACTTTCCTTTTACAGAGCACGATGATGCTTGGACATCAGTTTCCCTTCTCCCAGAAGGACCTAAAAGCTCCCACTACTTGGAGAGTTATTCTAAAAGAATGTACCCTGTAGTCCTCATGGGAGGACGACTGAAAAGAGTTGTTCAGAGAGGAACGTTTCCTGGTGTGTGACCACGCTGAGGTGGTGCATGCGCATGCTGGGTTAAAATGAAGTAACTTCTAAGAAGTATAGGCTCACATTTTCAAAGGTGTCTGCTCAGCTGGAGCACCTCCATCTCAGCCACCCATTTCAAGACTCCTGGGATACCCCTGCTTGACTCCAGTCACAGCTGAAAATCCCAAGCTGGGTAGCTGCATTGGGGGACACCTTTGAAAATGTGGCTCTCACCTGGTTGCCGTAACAAGTTCTACAATATTTGTAGGGTGCGCTAAGCGTACTATGAAAAGCAACCCCAGTTCTGTAGAGGAAATTCTTCAGGATGTATGGCTCTCGGAGCAGAGCACAATTTGCTAGGTTTAGTATGTGCAATGCCTTTTGTAAAGGCAATAGATCACTTGTCTCCTTATAGGAAAGGAAAGTTACGGCATGTGTTGTCGAATTTACAGGAAATGCTTAGCAAAGCCTTTCATGAAAAGGTGACTGTACAAATTCTATTTGTGTTTTCGGTACCCTCGTGCTTGGGGCAGACTGCTGATTTGCTACCATCCTTGGAGTGATATGTACGTTTAAGCTGCACTGACTCTGTAATCTGTTTTGCATTACTTTGCATTTCAAAAGTCACAAAAATTTGGCTCTGAGTGACAATAAAATCTGGTTACTGAATCTGTATCCGGTGAGTTGTTCTTTTCTTTGTGAAATTACCAGCTGGGGCCTCTCTTGTAAAATGATTTGCAGGATCCTGTGATTTAAAGAACTGCTGTGCCAAAGAGGTGTCCACACTGCACTCACAGCTCAATATAAACAGGAACACTGTGACACACTCAAGCTACTCACTGCACTACAGACGTATCTGGAGGCATAATAGATACAGAAGAATCAGAGTTCAGCTGCGGAGCAGCCCAGGTTTGCATAGAAATTTAAGCAAGTCCTAGGGGTTAAAGCAGATTGTGGCACTGACAAAGATTCAGAAAGAACCTCAATCAGGCTTCCTTGGCTGTGGAAAGCAGAAAGGAGTAGGCAAAGGGAATGAGATGTGCCAGGATCAGCCTCAGGGAATCTACTACTCAACCTTCTCTGTAAATTCACTTGTTGCAATTAGAGGTTTTCATCAGTAAAGGGCAGGGGGGTATGGAAGGGAAGGGAAGGGAGGAAGGAGGGTTGAGGGTGAGAGTGGGGTTGTTGAATGTGCTGGCTGACATCCACCTTTTGGGTTTAACAAGGCAAATATATTGGACACAAGGCTGGTGGCCCTGGTACTGAGACTGTACACAGACATGGGGCAGGAACTCTGTTGCAACCGTTTTCTCATTGCTCTCCTGGTCTTTTAACAGATTCACAGCCCCAAATGTTTACCACTGACCCTTTTGCAACTAGTCACACACCAGATACATCTCTTTAACAAATAATTACACGGGTACCTTCTAACCCTCCTGTCTTACTATCCTCACTTTACCGATACTAGGTCTGGAGCTCTCCAAAAGCAATGCCCATTTGAAAATATAGACCCAAGTTATCTGGCAAAGGTTATAGAGACCAGGAGTGTCAAAGCAGCGAGTCTCAGTTCCACACCCGGATTAAGAAAGTGGGATAGTACCAATTTACCTGTGAGACCTGTCAAAAGCAGGACCATTGTTTTAGAGGCATTCTGAATTAGGTAAAACCACCTCCCAAGTGAAAAGAAGTGTTACTAAAGGAATTTGTGCTATGTTCCCTTGCTGTCATTTATTATACAGGTGTGAGCCAATGGCTGTCGTTGTAAAAAACTTCAGATACTCACATTTTCTTCCAATACAAAAGGGAAAATGTGTGTAATTGTTCACTTTATCCTGGTGGGGAAAAGCCAAAATGCACAGACAAAATGATTTCCATGCCACTGAAATCAACAGCACTTTGGTCACCGAGGCCAATGACAGAAGTATTAGGGCGCAGAGAAGGGAGATTTGGGGACAAAAAAATGAAAATCTACGTCAGGAGGCAGCGCGTTAAAAAGTATCGCGCTGGCCCACAAGAGACTCGGGTGTTATTGCCAGACCTGACACTGGCCTACTGGATGACCTTATCTATTACTTCACCTTTCTGTGTCTCAGTGTCCCCATCTGTAAAATGGGAATGATACCAACCTCCTGCTTGAGGTGCTTGAAGATCTAACGATGTGAAGCACTATAGGTAGGGATCTGTTATACTATTAACATTTATTGCTTCGGTCACAAAAGCACTCTAAATTTGCTTCCATCTCTTAAATCTCCTTCATTGCAATTAAATCTGTATCTTCCTCCATTCCTTACCAGCCTCCCTGTTCCTCACAGGATTAAAGGATCATATACACAAAGAAAAAACTTAAGAAACCGGCACTTGCAATGAGGAAATGAATCTGCCCCAGAGCCACAGAACAAAGAGCCAGCTGTCAGGACTTGCCCAAGCTGCCCGAGGGCACTGCTGTCTCCTGCAAAGCATTTCTTCATGCGTTGCTGCATCCTGCCTATCCCTCAATTTTGCTGGGGCATCCACCAAGCTTCCTACCTCACATTGAGCCCTAGGGCTTTTCCTCCTCCTGACTGTCCTCTTACTGGGTTAAGGCAGGGAGAGCGGCGGTGTGGCTCTGAGTAACCTCTGTATCTCACTTTGAATCAAGGCTCTGGTTTTGAGTCACATCCTGCTTTGAGGTGAGACTGAGCGCAGATTAGACACGAGCAGCCCTGCCACCCTGTGGCCCAACCGAAGCACCGCGAGTGCACGCAACAGCCAGGCTCCTGCGGGCAGCGGTGCGCGGGGAGGCAGCCGACGCCAGCTACGGCGTGGACCAAGGGCACGCGAGATGAGGGTGGCCATCGAGGCACCTCAAGAATAGAGGATAATTTCATTTCATGCAACTATCCCCTACCACCGTGAACGCCGCGTACCTCCCGAGGCTGGGGGGCACGGCGAGCTCCCGCAGGCGGCCGTGTCAGTGGCGTGAGGGCGGCGAGCAGGGAGCTCCACAGACAGCTGCGGGGGGTGCCAGGTGGTGAAAAATAGAGAACATAAAGGCGTCCAGTTTCATATCAACAGAGGACACAGGATCAGAAAACCGGACTGTCCTCTATAAAACCGGACGAATGGCCACCCTACGTGAGATGCTCCACGCCGACCCCCTAAGCGGGCACGTGGGCTCACACTGCCTGCGGGGGCGCCCCAGGGCAGCCACGCGAAGGCGTGCACGGTGCAGCACAAACGTGTGCCCACAGGGGCACGCGCCCCGCCACCAGAAGCCTGGGCAGGAGCAACCCCCTCGGGCCCAGGTGCCTCCGTGGCCTCCCCGCGCACGGCCTCAGGGACGTGCAGCCCATGCCAGGCGCGACGGCTTCCGCGTTCCTCCTCCTTCTCCTGCCCTTCCCGAGGCGCCGAAGGAGGGCGCTGGGCACAGGGCGATGGCGTGTGTGCAGGCCAGCAGCAGTGCGGCGCCACCAGCCGAGGACAGGAGCGAGGGGCAGTGCAAAGGGATGGGCTGGCTGTGGCCACGGGGTGGGTTTTTCCCGCCAAGGCGGCAGCAGCAGCAGCAGGGCCCCGCCCGCCCCGCGCCACGGGCGCCCCCTAGGGCCGGGGCCTTGCAGCGCAGCTCCTTAGCATAATGTATGCAGCCCCGGTATTAACATGTAAATATATGCGCATGTATTTGCATACCGATGAGGCAGGGCAGGAGCCGGGCGCGTTCAAAATGGCGGCGCGGGGCGGGCGCGGCGGCGGCGGCAGCAGCGGGCACTGCAGCCAGGACAAGAGCATCACGTTGCCGCCCGACGAGATCTTCCGCAACCTGGAGAACGCCAAGTGCTTCGCCATAGACATCGGTGAGGGCCGGGCCCACGGGAGGCGGGCGGCGGGGCCCCTGGGGGGG